GAATTTCACCCCTCCTCTGGGCTAGCTAGCGACGATTCTTTAGGAAACCTAGGTTCAGGTCAGTTGAGTCCAGACTAGCCTTTTAGGCTCTCGGGCAAGCTAGCAAAGAATCTTTAGGACGATGGTTTGATCGGGACAGGCTAGCAGTGATTTCTTAGGAAAAGGGTGGGCTCGCAGATATTCTTTACGAATTCTTGTATTAAAGGAAACATGAAGTGACAAATCTTTTGCAATAAAGCGTCTATTTTAGCCCTCATCCATCTGGGAATGCCTGGCCCCATATACCGTAGTCCCTCTTCGAGACCCGTCCTCTTCATCGGTCCAGCCTTTCATGGCTCACAGGTTCGATCAAAGGATCACAAATGTTATTAATTTTTCATTTTTTTCCGGTATACTCCAAACTACAGCACTTTACTTAAATCCATTTTCATCCATTTTTTTATATCACCGACATGATGCACACGGCCCTCCGCAGCGAGATACAACGACGGATGGGAGATCGGTGCAAGAAGCTGCAAACGGATATTGGGAGGAAATATTTGGGGAGAACGGATTACGGTAGGGCCCTAAAAGGTGACCTGAGTACCGTAATCTTTAGAGGAGAATGAAAAGGAGTTGAAGGCGATCACGATTCTGGCTGAGGACTTGAAGATTTTGCTACTTGAAGCTCCGCATATTAATACGCCTATGGGTGAGAGAGAGAGAGAGAGAGAGAGAGAGATAGATAGAGAATGATAGACAGGTCGATTCGAGAGATTCTTGAGATTACTTATTTCGTCTCTCATGCTCTCTCCCTCCCTCATCCTCCCTTCCTTTCTCACTCTCTCTCCTTCTCTCGCTCTCTCTCTCTCCATCTCTCGCGCTCTCTATCTCTCTCTCTCCATCTCTCGCACTCTCTCTCTCTCTCCATCTCTCTCTCTTTCTGTCTCTCACTCACTCTCTCTCTCTCCTTTTATATTTTTTAGACCTAAAAGACATCCACCTGGCCCCCATCATCGTCCAGATTCGAGTCAGCAACAGAAGTGTAAGCTCTTGGAGTTCAAAAATAGTTGGGGTGCCAGCCTTACGAGTCCCCTTAAAAGCCATATTCCAGGTGCTGATGCGGTTGATGAACAAGACGGGCATCGGGGCCAACAACAAAAAGACCGAACTTGCCGGTGTTGATGCGCTTAGCGGGTAATTAAAGGGAACTCAGGAATTCTAAAATTTCGCCTTCTGAGTCGCTTTAAGGTTAAACCTGATCCTCGGTTTCAAATTTGTTTTAAAGGGCCCGGGAAGGTATAATTTTGCGCAAAAGCTAGGGTTTTATGATTTTCAGCAAAGATTCCTTTCCGATTCCTTTAAGTCTACAGTAACCCTATTTTTTGCTAAAATCTGTCCTTACGGGCCAGGAAATCTAACGTTCTAAAAAAACGCTAACAAGGAGCCGCTTTTAGGTGCTTTTGGAGTTTCTGGACCGGACCTAGCTAGTTCGATAGAGAAAAAAATTATGAACATCATACCATTTTCAAAAAGTGCTGATCGATAAAGGAATTTTAGAAAATTTCATTTAAAGTTCGCGCTTTTTCTAGTTTTCGGGCCCATTTCCTCGGTTCACGTCGTTTTCGGGGCTGGGCAAGGCGCTATTCATAACATTCCGCCAAGGCCTCCATCACATGTTGCATTGGCGTATTGGTAGCGCGCTTGCCTACCAACTTTTAACATTTTTTGCCTCGGTCCAAATCTTCGCGCTGGCTAACCGTTTGCTTTTTGGTTCTTGAACCCGCTATCGGCGCATAAAATTTTAGTTAGCAAAAGCAAAAAGTTAACGATAAATAAGAATCGAACTTGTGGCAAAAGGCAAAATAACCTCGTAGGCCAACGCACTAACCACTTGGCCATGCCTAGGACGGGATCCAGGGCGAGTGAAGTCCCCATGTGGCAGGGGCGGTCCACAGCCGCAAATCACCTCAAATCACATCAAGGGTCCGGATACCGGGAACGTTTTTTAATTAAATTAAATTTTCTAAAACACCTTATCGATCAGCACTTTTGAAAACGGGATGTTGCTCTGAATTTTTTCTCTATCGAACTAGCTAGGTCCCGTCCCGAAACTGCAAAAGCACCTAAAAACGACTCCTTGTAAGCCCCAGCTCTAGCTACAGTAACCCTATTTCAGCCTATCCCGTGACCTCGTCGATGTGATCATTGAGGAAAAAGGACTAGCCGAGGCGACAAAAAGGTACATTCTTTGCTGGTAGTACCGTAAATGGGACACCATTTAGAATGTGCTCCTACCTGGAGGACTACTGGGCGGCCACTCATCCACAGTGGCAAGAACTATAAATCGAGACGAGAAAAAAGAGCCACAAAATACTGTAGATTTCTGTAATTTCCCATAAATAGATGCAATTTTCATGCTGAATCAATGACCAGATTTTCCCGAAATAAGGAAAAAAACAATCAAAAAACTTTGCCGGAAAGATTCGAACCCTCTAGCCCGAACTTGAGAAATCGACGTATTAGCCACGTAATATTGTCGACCCCCCTAGAACACGTTTTTTAACTCCAACAGCAAAAAGCAAAAAACTTGCACCTGAAAGATTCGAACCCGCACCTTTAGCTTGATAGACCAACACGCTGACCATTAGGCCATGACGACAAAATAACTTTATTCCTCAAATTTTTCACTTTCTATGTGTCCCTGCCCCTTTAAATGTTGCGGCCTGTCCGACGCTCATTCCACCGTAATCACCCAATCCATCACCCCGGGTCGGCTTGATCAAAAGCTTCTCCCCGCGGCCAGGTCGAGCTCCCCGAAAAATGTGAGGCGATAAATTAGCGGGATATAGTGGATACGGCCCGCAGGGAAGCTAATTGGGATTCAATTAAATATCGGGGGGGGGGACGGCTAACTAATTTGAAATATTTTAAAATTTATTTAATCAAATTTAAAAGCTAAATTTTATCATTTAGATTTTTTTTCAGACTTCAAAGTCCCTTTAAAACCGCCAAAAACACCTCCAAGGCCGACCCCATCGCATTATACGGTCTCGAATTGTATCGAAGGGGGTAGGGGCCTCCCACACAGAGGCAACAACAATTATATTGCCCATTTAGAGCGCTAAACCTCTGGGTGTGTGACCTTCAAAAGATCTCTGCTAGCCTGCCCATTTCCTAAAGAATCTGTGCTAGTCTGCCCCGTTCTAAACAATCGCTGCTAGCTTGTCATTTTCTAAAAAACCTCTGCTAGATTGCCCCAAAATTCCGCAAAGAAGACCCGCTGGTTTCCTCAGGAATCCTCTTGGAATCTCAGCTAGTCTACCCGTTGATTCCTCATAGGATCTCTGCTAGCCGGCCCATTTCCAAGCGCCTGAAAAATTCCGAATTTTATTTTACTGTTTTTTTTTCATCGAAAACAATACCCTGAAAGACCCATCCCTCCCTATATTCATGGCTGTAAGTGGCCCTGGGGGAGATCCTTCTTCTTTTTCTTTCCCCGCTCCTCATCCTCCTCCATTTACAGTTCCTCAAGCCGCGTCAAGCCTTTTTGGGGTCACCGGCCCTCAATCTACCACCCAAAGAAGGGGGCTCGAAAATTGTAACCGACGGAAGAAGGGGGCCATCCATGGATTAGAGACCCTGAAATGGTACCAACGCTTTGACTCGACCTTCGCCACGCTCTCTCTCTCTCTCTCTCTCTCTCTCTGTCTCGATTGACGGTTCTACAAACCCTCAATCCACTGGCCCACTTCTGCCACTTCCTAAAGCCAGACCCAAAACTCTCCCTTCGACCCCCCCCCCGCCCCGGGGCCAGTCATTTTCTCTCGGCCACTTCATTTTCGGGATGGACTACTTCATTTTAAAGTTCATATAAGGTCTTCCTTCCTTGAAGGGATGTACAGGTTATGTCTATGGATTTTCTAGCTAATTTACCGAGGGCGCGACACGCAACGCATGCCACCTTCTACTTGCCTAAATTCAGGATGTTCAGGGGATGGTGCGTCGCGTGTTGTCGCGTCTGTCGGGCAGAATTCACTTAAACCGGACGCGCGGAAAGAAAATCCGCCCCCTGGCCCCCAGAAGAAGCGAGAGCTTTAAAGGGACCGGCAAGGCATGTATTCGAAGGATTTTTGCCGCCGCTACCGTTTCATTGCGTAATACATTAAAAGTTGTAATTTGAGAGCCCTGAAACGCAGCTAACTAAGCTGTCGCGTTTCGTGTCGCGGGGCGGACTCCTAGTACCATGCGCCCGCGTTGCGTATCGCGGCAAAGTCCATAGAAATGCCGTGCCCGTCCCTTTAAAGATATGCTCGAACCCTATCTCCCGACCAAAAAGCAAAAAGTTTGTTGCGGACTGGGAGTCGAACTCGGATATCGCGGCTGACAAGCCAAAGCGTTACCAATTAGCCATATCGATTTTGGCATGCCCACAACACGCAACGCGTCTGTCCAAGAAGCGGTAGGCGTCGCGTGTCCCGCCCGCGATAAAATACAGAAAATACGTTGCAAAAAAAAATTAATCTTAGACATGCCATCCCTTTAAAGAAAACGCTTCAATCAAAAATCCTGTATTTTCTCTGTATTACTGTACCCTCTTGGCTGTACCTATCGATTTTATGGACTTATCATACCGTAATCTTTTAGATGCTCCGCCTCCTCCCCATCCTCTACCTCCTCTCCAAACAGTCCCACGCCTTCCTCGACAATGGCATTGTCGGTAAGCTCGCTTCTTTCCATCACGATCCACCGTAGACTGACTACACGAGACACCCAAGGACACACCCAACGTCCCATAGTCCATCAATCAACGCCCAAATTTACACAGAATTATCCCGCTTTTTTGCACGGCTCATTTTTCAGGCACACCCCGGGTAATGTGTGCCGAGAATGACCTCGGACTCGACATCACCACCAAGGCTCCATTCAGGGGAAATATATTTGTCAAGGTATGAACAGAATTATGAGTGCTATAACGGTAATACCAAACAACCTTTAAATATATACGTTATGATAAATAAAAAATGTAAATTAGCAAAATTCCAATGAAAAACTAGCGGGGGCTTTATTTTCTGAACAAGACCACCTTAATGCTGTCAGATGACAATAACTAATTTTAAAGAATTCATACGTAATTTAGCAAATTGTCGCTGAAAAATCAGCCAAAACGGTATACCGGTATTTTACTCTATAAAAGTACAACGTAGTTACGTACAGTACAACGTCACGTGAAATCGTTAAAAAATCCAAATTTTGACTAAATTGCTGCTATCCTCGCAAAATTCCGAGCATTTTACATCCTTTCATCTTAGAAATTTGTCTAGCAATGGCCCGTTTAAACGGTGAAACTAAAAAGTATTTAGATTCCTAAAACCCATCGGCTTTTTCAAAACTAAACTCTCATTTCTGGATCTTTTTTATGTTTTTCTATACTTGAGACTTATTCCTCGCTTTCCAGGGCCGCGCCAAGGACAAAAGCTGCCGCCAATCCTACGCTGATGGATCGAACAACACATATTCGTTACCCCTTGGCCAATGCGGAATGCAACGGTTGCGATCGGTAAGTAAAGTCTAGTTTTTCAAAAAAAGCGAGCCTTATCGGGATCGAACCTGGGGCGGCGAGTCGAGACCGGAAACTAGTGGACAAACTTTGAAAGACCCTCAATTTTCCAGGCAAACCCACGCGGTATCCACTTCTCGGTGACCGTCATCGTCTCCTTCCACCCATCAGGCTTCATCACCAAAAATGACCGAGCCTTCCACGTCAAGTGTTTCTACACGGAACCCGAAGAGGTTGTAACATCGCATATGGAAGTCAAGTGAGTAAATCCGACCGTGATTTCATTACAGAACTTCACGATTTATTTCTAGTTAGTTTAGTTAGTCTTAGATACGATACACAACTTTGATAAAGCGCAGTTTCACGCGCAGCGGCTGGCGTTGCGGTCAAGGGCCCGTAATTACATAAAGCATCCTCGTTTTTCCATAGAATTCTGTTTTTAGTAGTTTTATGCCAAACCGAACACGAACAACTTGGGCAGGAACTGTCGTGATATTGTCTTTCTAACTGTTCCAATCGACTTAACACCTTCAAACCGTCCTCAACGTAAGAATCCGCTTTTTTTAGCCATCTACCAACCACCGAAATTGCCGACGACATGCCGATGCCCACATGCGACTACTCTGTGCGACGAGACGGACCCCACGGCCCTGTTCTATCTTTTGCAAATGTGGGAGAAACGGTGGGGAACTGACAAAAGTTATATAAAAAGTTAAATCCAGGTATTCCACGTGTGGGAGTGCAAGGGCGCCGAGATGGGGATGCTCGTCAAGAAATGCGCCGTCAATGATGGGGATGGTGATGAACATGCCGTCATCAATCCCGAGGGGTAAGCTGTGTCTGTATGTAGCTTGTATAAAAGCTTTTATAGTTTGAAAGGGAAAAGTGGAAAAGGTATTCTATTTTCAATTCGAGGTTGACGATCCAAAAAAACCTACCAAACTAAATCAAAGTAATAAAAATTATAAAACTAGACGATCTATCGAGTTTTATTTTGCTTTAGTGAGCTTCTTTGTAGCCAAAAAAATGGAAAAGGAAAAGACATTTCATTCTGTTTTTACGATTGCTTTATGGTCCAGAAAACCTATAAAACTACAAAAATACAAACAAGTATAATAAAAATTATAAAACTAGATGTTCAACCGATAGCGGCCTACTATCCGACCTCACCTATGACATCAACCTCATGAGAGCCCACGCAACGAGCCAAGTAAGTAAGCTTTTCATGTAAAACTACCACAAATGTAAGGTCTTCAAATACGCCGACTCAAACCAACTATACTTCACCTGCCAAATCCGTCTATGCCAAAAGACGATGGGCAACTGCCAGGGGGTCACGGTAAATTTGAAAAACAAGGCCAAAAAACACCAAACCCGCTCTAGCCCCCAAAATGCGGCCCCGAAGAAGCGCCATCCAATCGAACGCGTCGTGAGGCGGCAGATTTGTTGCTGCGAAACATGGAGGTATCCACAAAATCGAGAAACCATTAAAAATACAATGTTTAGCTTGATGTGGCGACGCGCAGCCTGCTCGTGCTCGACCCCGAAGACGCCTCACGACTCCGAGGTCAACACCCCGGCCTCTTCTGCGTCCCCTCACAAATCCTCCCCTTCATCCCGGTCATGTTGATCGCCCTCATTGTGCTTTCGTTCCTCGTTTTCCACATATTTCTCCGGAAACCAAAGTCAGAAAAGGATCTCAATTAAACGGATTTGTTTGGCGGGGTGATCGATAATAAACACAGCATTACGAAATACATCTTGACATTTGCCTGAAATATAAATCCGCCTCGATTTGCCGTGTCAAGCACTTTGAAATAGGAAGTGTAAGTTTATTAGGTAACAGTGTTCATTGTAGTCCTACGTTGTTGGCAGTGGCTACGAGGCGCTTCTGTAAACTCGCACAATCTCTACACTAACCAGCGCTGACCCCCCGCTCCGCGGGGGTTCAGCGCTGGCCCTCCCGGGGGGAATAAATCAACATCCCATACACCGAAATCCCGAAATCCCGAAACGCCCCGGCTCCCGGACCCGTCCGAACCGGTCCTAGGGGTCCCGCAGCGATCCGGTCGGACGGACGGACGGACGGACGGACGGGCGGGAGGGAGGGCGGACGGACCGGGCGCACGGACATTAGAAATTTATATATAAGTGATAAGTGATAGGAATTGAAGATTACTTTTTCTTTTTAGAAAAAATCTCTCGCTGCTCGTTCCCTTTAGCTAAAGAGAGATAAATTTACGGGAAGGTCATATTAGGTAAGGTGTTCATCGTACTCCGGCGTTGGCAAACCGTGGCGCTCCAGTGAACGCCTCAACTCTTTGCATGAATAGCAACTGCCGCGTGGCTTGTCTTTTTAGCCTAGCGACCCTCGACCGTTCCCGTTTGCTCCCTTTAGCTAAAAGAATATAATTTTAGATGAAGTTAAATCTTTATTCGACCCTACAAAGCAATATGTTTTGCATAATCTTCTTTATTTCGTTTTAAAGGTGGCGGCACCTCTAGAAAATTTAGAATTTTGTCAGCAAACCGGTCAACCTGAAAACGTTCAAAGTGAATTTTAAGTCTATTCTACTTTTCACTTCATTTTCCACACCATTTCACGCGCACGACGAGCTGGTGGAGGGTAACCAACACTGCATATGGAGGGCGGAGAGGGGCTTTCTGTCTTTCTTTTGCCATGGCCTTACGCGCGATATCGATTTTTTCGTCTTCTGCCTACCGATTCCCCCCATGGTCGCCCGCCTTTAGGCGCATTTTCATACTAGAATTACTTTTCCCTTTCGATGATTAACCTTATAGTATCCTATCTATCAAAGATTTGTTCAAAATCCAGCATATAACCACTCGTTGCTTGGGGTCACTTCGGCGCCACGGCGATTCAGAAGCCGATCCATTGAATCCTGACATCTATAAAGTTTCGTTTTTCAGATGTCGGGAATTTTGATTGACGATATGTTCACAGTGAAAGACGTCGATCCCGATGGAAAGAAATTTGATCGCGTCAGCCGGCTCTTCTGCGATTCAGAAACGATGCGGTATTTGCATTTTATTTACGAAAATATAGTTTTTACTTTAGAATGAACCTAATCTTGGATGTCAACACGCAGATGTATCCCGTGGACCTGAACGAGCAGTTTCGACTTGTGCTAGCAACCACATTGAGAGAAGACGGCGGTGCCGAGGAAGGTGTCTATGATCAACAGGTGATTTTTTTAATCTTATTCTCTATTTTCTTTTATTTAGGCTGAATCGACGAGAGCAGCGCAGTTTGAATACGTCATGTACGGCAAAATCTACCGAATTGAAGGCGGCGAAGCCGGCCACGACAAGGACAGCCAAAATCTCGACGTCTATGCATCATTTGGAGGTGAATACCTAAAGTTTAGCGGATTTTGCATTTATTTGGTTGCTGCCAGATAGTAAAAGTTTTAAAAATTCAATCGAAAAAGTTTTCCTTTTCCAGGGCTCTTGATGCGGCTTCGCGGCGACGCCTTCAACCTGCAAGAATTCGAATTGGACAAGTACATCTACCTCCTTATGAAGAAGAGCAGTTTTTGAGTTTTATTTTGTGTACACGTTGTTTCATTTTTGTTATTGACGGTTGATTTTGAGACTATGCATAAACGGATTGAAATTTTATGCGTTTTTCGGGACTGGATTTGCCATCAAACGTGCTTGAATGAATTGAAGAAAAGAATTTAACCCATATTCAGGGCATGAATAATGTGGAGGTGGTGGAACTATCCGATGACGAAGCCCCGGTCACTAGCACTACAAAGGCCCACGTCGAAGTGAGCGTCCTCGAGCCCATCGACCTCGCATTGCTATTGCAGCGTGGGGGCACTGGTAAGAAATCCGCCGAAAACCATAAATTCTTTAGGCGCGAATCTCGCAAGAGCTCAGTCTGCCCTTGTAAGGCCACCCTACCAACTGCCAGTCGCAGTTCACAAAAACGGCGCCGTCCCGATCAAGCGACCATTGCCAAACGGAAATATCCCTTCGTAAGGCTTTAATTTTTGAGCTGAAGTCTTTTCAGGCATATAAAAGTGCCGGATCGGGTCGATAAAGCGCGCCTGGATAGATATAAACTCGTCGCGACAGGGCGCTATGATCGGGGCTATGAAGTCGACGGAATCACATTTAAGGTATATCCAAAATACCTAGAAATTATAAAAGTTATGTTTAGTGCACCTACATGGATTGCAACAAATTAATATACGGCAACGGCCACATGATCTGTCATTTATGGGCGCATTTCAGTGAGTTTTTGAAATAGTGAAAAACTGTAATTCAGATGAGGCCACACCGTTCGAGCGACTATCAAGACCGTTGTCCCATCACCGAATGCTCGCAAAGCGAGGCTTGGCCGATGTGGAAACACTAACACGATGCACCCAGTGTCGTCATGCTTTCAAAAGCCCTTATGACTTACAGGTAAATTCATGCCCAAGCTAACAACGCTGAATTTAGTGTCATTATACTCGTACTCACTCCCGCGTCCCAGAATCGACAAATGAATCCAACTGCGCTATCTGTGAAACAGAACAGATGGATTTGCGAGGTCATCTTAGCCAACACCGAATAAATGTATGTTTTCTTAGATGCTTGGGGTTGTTTAGTAAAAACGGCCAATTATCGATCTAGAAGGATAAGCTCTTCGCTATCAAAATATATAAAAAGCTACGTTTTCCAGGATTCCCCCTACGTGTGCAAGGTCCGTTCGTGCGAATTTCGCGCGTCGCAGAGAATGAACTTGTTCGACCACTATTCCCAGGTTTTGGCATTTTCAGGACGAAGTGACATGCCTTATTGCAGATGCACCGGGATACCACATTGCTCTGGTGCCCGTTCTGCCCCTACGTCGAATATATTTCTCGGAGCCAGCTGCGCACAAGCAAAGATGCCATCCATTGCCGATCGCTCATTGACCATTTTATGAAGCATGTCCAAGGTAAGGATAAAAATCCGCCTTTTCACCCTCAATTGCAGTTGGGCAGACGTATCGTTGCCGCCTGTGCGCCTACGCGTTTCTAACACGCACTGAATTGCACGCACATCAACATGCTGACCATACGGGCGTGATACCGCCAAGTTGGAACGTCAAAGCGGTAAGATTTCCTTTAAAAATTTGCTATAAACGCGAATTTAGACCAAAAACGCATGGCAAACCTCCACTTCCAGCAAACTGCAAATACACCCCGAACAGAAGGTAAAAACCGTTTAATTATGTGACCGATCCCTTTTCAGAAGTTGAAAAACAAGTGCGTGATTTGTCAATGCCCTTGTGAACAGACAAAGTGCTCCTTCTGCCAGCAAAACTCGAGAGAATTCTTCAAAAAGGGAATCCCGCACGAATTCGAACGAGACGGGCTGAATAAGAAAAAGATTGGAAGGCGGGGTTTACCATAAATCTTATGAAGCAGGCAGCTTTAGAGTTCAACTGAAATGCGGGTGCAACTTTACAACTTACAACTCGGATTTGATGACTCACCACCGAGGGTCTTGCAAAAATACGAAGGCCGTCGTCTCTGTGGAACTCCCGCCAAGGTTTTATCATTATCTCCGATATATCGTGTTTTTTTTAGACCCGATGATGACCAACAACCAAGCGAAGCCGATTTCCGGGAAGCAAAGTTATTTGGAGTCCTCCCTAGAGAGGTTAGCATCTTCTCCGAGCCATAAAAGCTTTTTTTAGAATTGCGTCAGACGCGCCACTTATCAGAGCACAAGAAACGGAGAGGCTATGAAGAGAAGGAAATTGGCCGACATTCGCGAGGTCATCACCGACATTGACGACGACCATTTGCTGGTCACTAAGCAGGCGTTGGTGTAAGTCGAATTTGGTCTATACTTATCCCGCTTTTTAGACGTGCTCGCCACAACGACGTCGCAGCCAGCCTCGCCATATATCGCAAAATTTTTGGCACCTAACTATCTTGGCCCTATTTGATATATACTAATTATTTTCACCGTGCTTGCCACTTGCTCCCCCTCCCCCGAATGCCTTCATTGTCTGTATGCATTGTTTGTTTAATCCGATCCTTTTGTATCCGTTATGTTCCCCAGAAGTCTCAGCAGGGGACCAGAGTCACGGGTGCTGTTTTCACACTTTCCAATGTTCTATTCAATGGATTTAGTACAATAAAGGGCTTTCAACTAATGAATTACGCATACATTCCAGGTTAAAACACAGGACCATGACATTTCCGCCAAAGGCCAACATGCTTGTGAAATAAGCTATACAAGCCGGACAATTTTTTCTTGCTCGGATCTGGATATTACAGAAAAAAATAACAAGGATATGATGGTTTCTCTTGAACATCAGAATTTGCGCCGGAAAGGGTAAAAGGCGTTATATGATGCCTAAAACAGGCCTCCGGATCGTAATTTCTTCCCTACTAGCCGGTGCGTAGGTTAATTCATTTTATTAGCACCAAAAACACAAAGAAAATCTTTAATTTAGAAAGTTTTGTATGTTTTTGGCCTCAAATTGGCGTAAATGTCACTGGCGGAGATGGCATGGTCCCCTAAAACACGGACCATCAGACCCGCGACACTCCAATTTACACGCGCGGTTACGGTATCCGTCCGTTCAATCGGGCAGCGGGGTGTTTTCATTTCAGTCTGGCCCCTCCTCGCACCCCTCTCTCTCCAATTTGGCTTATGCGATTTTTTCGCCGGCACCTTTCACCGCAGAGTAAGCCGCGCGTACTCAAAACAACAATAAAGAAACCCCTTCTGAAATGTTACTGAAATGTTCTGTTTGCGATTGTACAATGAGCCGTTTTCTTTTCCTTTCCACCACCGTTTTTGCCTCGTGCGATTTTGGCCGCAGAAAAAACCGCGCCTTTTGAAAGTTTTGAATTCGTGGGAGCTTTATCTAAAACCTTGCACTAAAACGGAATGGCAAAGCACTATGCCTGAATCTACTCTCGATTACTATATCAGTTTTGATTTACCGTCCTCGTTCTGCCGTCTGATCCAATAGTGCCAAAGCTTACGCGATTTCTTTTCACATCGATTGCCAGGCAATGCTTACGAGATTTTATCAACACTATTTATTTGCAATATTTTTCGAAGCTCCATTGGGTTCTCGATTCTCCGGCTAAGATGTCCATCTACCAAACGAGTCTTTTTTTTCTTCGATAATTCCACAAAACTTGTTGATCATTTCCTTCCTTTATTACATTTGAACTTCAGCATGGTCGACGAAAAGCCTGCTGTGATCCCGCTCGTCGGGAAACTGGCTCCCGGTACGGGCGGTGTCCCGTTGAAGAACATCATGGTGAATGCGTTCCAGCTTCGTGTGGGACCCAATGTCGCCATCTACAAATACACCGTTTACAGTAATTTTTTCCAAGGTTTTAAAACTTTATTTTAGTAACCATACTGTTCAACGCGACAGGGAGGCCGTACGAAGTCACAAAGATTCTGCGTGAAGAGTTAGTTTTTGTCGGTTTTTTAAATCGATTATTTTAGTTTTGGGGAAACCGAAAGGAAGAAGCTCCAGCGGCTGATCCTCGCGATGTTGTTCGAGAAGAAGGCCGAATGTTTTCCGAGGAATTTTGCAAACCGCCACGTTTCCGACTGCGCGGCTTCGATTTATTCCCAAGAGAAAGTCAAGATCCCAAATGAAGTATAACTTAAATTATCGTTTTTGTACTCCTTTTTTAGGAAGAAGGTCTCGTCTTCTCCTTTTCCAACGAGGACATCAAGCACTTGCCAAGGTGCACAAATGCTGTGAAGATCGACATTACGTTCAAGCAATGCAAAGACAAGTTCCAGGTATATTCATTGAAGGTGTTACACTTCGGGTTTAGTGTTCCTCCAGCACTCCTGACAATCTATTCATGGAATACGCCAACATTGCCGTGTCTCACCAGATCTCTGCTGACCTGTAACATTTGAATTTGTAACTTACGTCTTTTTTTAGGGAGACCTTCCTGATCTCGAAGAACGAAATCTTGGTCGTCGACACCAACAATACGCAGTTCACACAGGCAGAAGCGCCCGACGTTACCGGGAACGCCATCGTGCGTTTATAATGAGTATCTTACCTTTTATTCTTTTAGGCGGTGCCCGCTATCAAGAAGAGTGTCAAGCTCATCGACGCGAAGCGTGAGGGACAAGCCAAGCTGCAAATGCAGCAGAACAAGGGCCATCTTCAACAATCCGGCAAGCCATCGCCCAGCTTCTCCCTGATCGTTGACATCTCCAAACATCCGATGCACATGGCCACCGACCTCTCCCAGAAGATCGAGGCCATCTGGATGGGCCAGGGTGGTCAACGCGGCGGACGCTTCGATATCTTGCAGGCCATCCGATCGCCTGTGGTCCAGGCAGCTCTGAAACGTACGTTCTTAACCCTTTTTTGGATCCGACCTTGTTGCAGATCTTGAAGTGGTTCCCACTCATCGCCCTGACGCTCGTTCATTCACGATCGGAAGTTTTGCTGGAAGCGCCAATGAGGTCAAGTTGCAGGGCGAGCCCACGACTATCGCCCAATTTTTCAAAGATCGCTATAGCATCAACCTCAAGTTTGTTATTACCATATGAAACACCTTTCTTTTAGACATCCGAACTGGCCGCTGGTGCGTGATCGTCGGGACAGCTTCTTCCCGATCGAACTGCTCGCCGTTTGCCCGCATCAGAAAGTTCGCAAGCAGCAAGAATACCCACAGCAGAGTGAGAGGATCCTGAAGGTAATTTCGTAATTTATTCTCTTACATTTTACTTAGGCCTCTGCTCTTGCTCCCATCGAGCGCGCTAAGCAAATTCAGAAGGGCCTGAATGCACTGAATTTGACGGGTCCTGATTTCACAGACAAGACTGGCTTCTCATTGGGATCGCAGGAGCTGATGAAGGTACGGTGTATCACTTTTTCCATAATTTTTTGTAGCTCACCACGGCCCGCACCCTGGCTCAACCGCAAATCATCTACGGCGGGCAGAAAGGAGAAAACCCGGATGCTTCTGGACGTTGGCGCCTTGAGCGAAACAAGTATTTCGGCCCCGCCAAACCTGTTGCGAAGTGGGAGGTGTGGGGTCTCGTTGAACAGCACAATTTATCGCATGTCGGGTAATTAATCATTTACTTTTCAAATCCTTCATAGTGATTTTGTCAATCAACTCGTGACACGTGGCGCAGCTCGCGGTCTGACACTCGACGATAAGCCTGTGAAGGTAAAGCCCTTGTTATTTTATCTACAACCCGTTTTTTAGCTCCATATTGGTCCCGAGGAGCTGGAGCAGAACATGATAGCCGCTAAGGAGAGGGGCTCGCAGTTCGTGATGGTCATTTCCGAGAAGTACTACACCGCCCACAGTAAGCTTCGGGATTGCAATATTTTAGTTTCCTTTTCAGAGGAATTGAAGTACCTCGAGCTGAAGTACAACATTCCCACGCAAGAAGTGCTGATGAATGTCGCCCGCTCGGCCGTTCAAAGGCAACAGGGCGTCACCTTCGACAACATCTTGCTCAAGACGAACATCAAGAACAAGGGGCTCAATCACGATGTCAAATTTCGTGAGGACGCGTAAGGCTCTTCGCCCTTGATGTAATCCTTTTGTTTAGGATGCAGAAGCTGGTCAACAACAAGGAGCGCATCATTATCGGCATCGAGATGAGCCACACCACCTCTGGAGAGAAGGAAAATTCGGCTTCGGTCGTCGGCTGGTCTGCAAACTGCCTTGGCCATCCCGTCCTCTACACTGGCAATTTCATGTATGTGCGCGCCCGCGAAACGGAGGTATACTTGAGATTTTGGTATACTGATCTGTATCCTCTTTAGCCGTGCCTGGATCCGGTGTTCAAACAGGTCATCATGCGGATGAAGAAGTATCGTCCGAAGCCAACGAAACTCGATTTCGATATCTATATTGGTGGTGTCTCTGAAGGGCAGATGGCCAGGGTAAATTTTTTTGCCTTTAGCCAATGATTTCTTTTTTCTAGGTTGCACGCAACGCCGTCCAGAAACTTCGCGAAAATCTGCTACCGATGAAGATCGAGCACAACATTTCTGTGGTCGTCGTTTCGCTCGACCACGCGGAACGCTTCTTCATTGAGGTTTGTCTTGGTATTCTATCTCCATAGTCCTCTAGAACCCGCCGGCAAATGGAAAATGCTCCGAACAGAACGTTAGACCTGGGTTGATCGTCGATCAGGAAGTGACCCACCCGAGCCGATCCGAGTTCTTCCTATCGGCCTGCATGCCCCTTCAGGTATAATTACACGCATCGTCGCAAAATATTTTTCTAGGGAACCATCAAAGTGCCGAAGTACACTATCTGCGTCGACACGTCTAAGAAGCGGACGATGGCAGACTTCCAAATGCAAGCCTACGGCCTCTGCCACTTGCATCAGTACAACACGGCCACTACCTCCATCCCGACGCCCCTCTACTGTGCCAGGGACTATGCCCAGCGCGGAATGGACGTGCTCAAGTACATCGTGGAAAGGTAAGACAAATCTCTATACTTTTAATTCAAGCTTTCAGGGATCTGCCAAACCCGAAGAGTTGGGATCTCGAGTACCTCAACCAGGTCACCTACCAGCAGACTACCCTGGACAACGCCCGCATGGCCTGATCGTCCTGCTCTACCTAATAAAACCTAATGTTTATTTATTGTACTCACCCTTATTTTATTCTTGTGATGCCTCTATGCCCCATAATAATTCTTGCCCGGTTGGCGTTTTTTAAGTTCGGCACAAAGTGCCTTGATTTTTCCGACTATATCTGACGTGTATTCTTTTTCCCCGTGTGAATAAATGTGTTTTTTTGGCAAAAATGGAGTTTTGGAAAGAAACACAAAATGGTTGGGCATCCTGCGAAAAACTGAGTATTTCAAAGCTAACTGTGGGAGAGCGGGGTAGTACGGGGCGCTGCCATGTGCGGGCTGAATGCGTGCAGAGAGGCCTAGCCGATTGGTAACGCGCGCGGCTGAAAGGTTTTGATATGTCGGTTCGACCCCTTTCCTCGGTTTTCGAGTTATATTTATTGAACTGGCATTTGTTGATAGCGCAACATCACTGCAACCGATTCCCACTTTCCTACATTTGTAGCAGCCATACTTCATCCCCATTTTCGTTATAAAACTTCACAGTAACGAAAATACTTTTAGAATTGGCTCTAATCACGGTAAATGTCGAGACGTGTGTTGCTGAAGGCTGCATTCAAGGATGTGAAAGATGTACAACCTATGGGTGCGTCACTTTGTGCATTATGATCCGGAGAATTTGAGGTTCTTATCAAAATTTTATCTCTTTAGAAGGCACGGTGAAGCAGGAGCCCGATACCTCTCAATCTGGCTTCACCGGCGAGGAAAAATTGAACCTGAAAACGGCGACCGACGAAGAGTGCTACAATCAGTATTTGCTGCTACGGGTATCAAGTTTTATAGGCGACCAAATTTAAGTGTTTTAGTCAAATGCTGTGCTGCTTGCCTACTTTCCGAGACGTTGGGAGCAAATCAAGCTGACGAATGCGGCTTTTAACTATTGTAGTGAGTTTTTTGCACGGATTCTTTGCCTCTTTAGTCTGTTTATTTTTCTAATTCCATTTTTAGGTTCTGTAACTGGCGTCCCGTTGAAGTGTCTTGACTGCGAGCGCCCCTTTCCCGAAAGCAAGACGGTGGTGGAACATGCAAAACTGTGGGTTTAATTTATTACTGCAGACGTTTAGTATTGCTTTATGGAAAAAAATCATTAAATTTCAGCTGCAAGGGCATACAAGAGGACGATAAAGAAGAGCTCATCCCAGTCACCCCAAAGAAAGCTCCTCGTCGAGGCGGCCGCAGCTCTTATAAGCCTGATCTCTCCATTACAGAGTTTGAAGTAAGCTGCCCGTTACAGCCTTAATTTCCATTTAGAAAACGCCCTATCTGTTCGTCCTCTTGACGCCACAACTCCAGAATAATCTAGCAAAGGAGATTCTAGCCTTGGAGCATGGTGAGAAAATTATAACTTTATTAAATATTATTTTTAGTCATTGCCTGCCCGGGCTGCGGTGCGACTTACGAGGAAGCCGGAGCTGGTGCTGCGCACCTGGCTTTTTGCCTGGCCCCACAGAGCGAATATGATCGCTATAAGGGTCGGCTGAGTGATCTGCAATCGTTGCCCGATCGCGAGTTTCGCAGAATAGTCCGAGGCACTGTGACCCAGTCGATGAAGGTAGTTATTACAGCAATTCTCGAATTACAGTACTTTTTAGATCGTCTGCCACGCTTGCGGCAAGGTGATCACGACGCCATACGGTGCCGAATACCACGTGCTGCGCTGTGGCCGCAACCCTGAAGTAATCCATTTTTTCTGAGTTGGAGATTTCTTTAGGACCGACCTTGGAAATGTCATTATTGCGGTTTTGCCTCGACCCAATCGCTATCGAAGTAAGGCTTTATATAGGTTAATCTCTTTTTTTTGTCCAGGCAACACTTGGATGTAGAATGCGAGGAGCGGCGAAAAGCTATGAATTCCGAGGGACGCACATTTGTCAAAGAAGAAGCGTAGGTTTTTAGGTCCCAAAAATCTTCTTGTCTTAGTGAAAGCGAGGAAGAGGAGGAGGAGGAAGAGCCGGCCCCGGAACCCGAACCGGAACCCCAGCCCGAAGAAATCTACGTCGGCGAGGCAAGGCCCAAGCGAGTGCCGAAACGAAGGGTATTTTAAGCAGATATATTTTTAATAGCTTGGTTTTTAGAGAGCAGATGCGGATGGCGACCACAACGATCCAGATTTTCATCCGACGGCTACGGCTGAAATAGCCATTGGGGTAATTTCACGTAGAAATCTACTGAATTAAATCAATGTGTAGGGCAACAAGGAGATTAACAAGTTCTTGACGGCTATAGGATCAAGGAAAAAGATGAATGCAGCTGGAAAGGTGAGAATTATTTTTTATAAATAAAATCTTTCTGTAGTTGGTTAAACACCGTGAAATGCCGTCGATCTCTGGTGGGCTAATACCCGGAAAGAGCTCTCGAGTCTCCGTCGGAAGGGGTGGTACGCTGCGATTCAAATTTCGGAAATTGGACGTGACTGGTGGGTTGTGATTTTTGTATCAAAAGCAAGCAAACTTTTCTTCGTATTTCTGTAAAATACATTTTTCCAGAAACTGTCCCAAATCAAGCTGATCTCGGCCGATACCAAAGAGCAATCTGGGAATGTCAACGGGCTTGGGAAGAGGAGGTAATTTTTTTGTGTTAGAATGCTCATTGTTTATTTTTTAAAAATCACGCGTTGTTTAGGTGATGAACAGCCCGTTCACAAATCCCCTACTCGAAATCCCGACTGTCAGCTGGGAAGAGGTGCCGGATAGGTATTTTTTTTGTTCTAAAAAGTATGTTTTTTTCTAGCGAATACATCGCCTCGCTCCGCGTCAAGGAAAGCATCGGCATTCGACACGGGAAAATCCCGGCCACCCCGAGAAAGCCGCCGCCGGAGAAGAAGGATCGGCTGAAGGGACCGCCGGTTTGTTGGAAATTATTTTTACGCGAATGGATCTAGGCTTGCGGCAGGATAAAGGCCCTACCACCCACTGAGCTACCACACGATCTTTCGCGAGTCAAATTTGGGGACAACTTGATGATCGGCATGGAAGGGGCGCAAGAACAGGTAGTTTTACGAATCTAGGGAAATCCTGAATTTTAGGAGAATCACGACGAGAATAACCCGGTGACCGATTGGGCATCAGCCAGCTACGTGGGCGGCCCGGTGAACAGCGCAGATTTTTCGGCAACAATTAGATTGGATGGTACATTGGTTTTTCTCATGAAAAACTTGTTTTTAGGAAGTAGCGTGCTCGCCTTGTCCGTCTACCCAGATGACTCTACCCTGACCGGAAGTGGAAATGGCTGGAGAAGCGGTGACGGCTACTTTCAGATTTGGAACGTCATCAGGGTACCGGAGAAGTAACTGATTTTCCCCCCTTCTTAACCCAGATTGTTCTTAGAAAACCCGCCCCTCCGCCCCTGTTGCATGGTGCAGATCAAGGGCCACGGCATGGTGATGAAGCTGAAATGGTGCGCGAAACCCTGCAACACCCGAAAAAGGTATTCAGAAGCGCTGGAGCGGAAAACGTTCAATTTGTTAAGATATTGACGCTATCGGCTACCTGGCTGTGGCCACGGCCAGCGGAAAGGTGTTGATCTACCGGCTGGCGGACGGGGTATGCAAATCCGTGGAGGGCAAGTTCCCGCTGTACGCGCCGAAGCCGAACATTGTGTTGTGTCAACAGGATTCTCCCGAGTGGACGGAGGGATCGACTGTAAGCCTTTTTTAAGAATCTAACTATTTCTTAGCCCCTCGGTGTGCCGCCCATAATCTCGTTAGACTGGACGTTCTCCCAGGGCGGTGATTTGATTGCGGCTGTCAACGCTGCAGGTATATTCGTATTTGTTATTGGTTTTAATGATGGTTTTCGGTCTTAAGAGCATGAATTATCAGTTGGAAAGAAAGTAATGGCACAAAATCTGTAAACCGCTGTAAAAATCCGCAGGAACGTCCGATTTGACAGTATGATATATGGTTTGGTAGATCTTCGGATGCTCTATCACGAGACGACCCTCAAAACGCACAAAAACTAATGTACGCGAAAATAAAGGACTCAGAAGTTTCGCAGAAAATTAGGTGAAAGCTTCCAAGCGATATATCTATGCATACAGGCATTTGCATACGATACTTTTAACACCAATCGATAGCCCTCGAGGAGTAGATATCGATAGATGTTGAGATCATCGAAATCGGACTCTGGATGGCCGAGATATGCGCCCTATAAATTTGGTCCACTTCTTAGAACTTTTCTCGAAATCCCATACATTTAGGCCTGCGCGAGCCAAAAACTGCTGCGTTTGCTTCAGATCCCGAACCAAAATCCAGAAAATGCATTGATTTTGGAAGGCCCATATCTTGGCCATCCAGTGTCCGATTTTCATGATCTCAACATCTATCGATATCTACTCCTCAAGGGCTATCGATTGGTGTTAAAAGTATCGTATGCAAATGCCTGTATGCAGAGATATGTCGCTTGGAAGCTTTCACCTAATTTTCTGCGAAACTTCCGAGGCCTGTATCTTCGCGTCCGTCAGTTTTGTGCGCTTTTGAGGGTCGTCTCGTGATAGAGCCTCCGAAGATCTACCAAACCATATAACAAACTTTCAAAACGGACGTTCCTGCGGGTTTTTTACAGCGGTTTAAAAGATTTTGTGCCATTACTTTCTTTCCAACCTGATACAATCCGAAAATAAAACGAAAACAATTTTATTTCGTCTTTCACAGAGCTTTTTGTCGATACCTGATCAAAATCTGACACGTCTCCGAGCCGTTCAGACTGAATACTTTTCGGTCGCCTTTTAGTAGCTGATCATTTCCATTCCAGGCGCGATCGTCTTCTGGGAGCTGTCGAAGAAGGAGTACGTGACGGATGAAGGGCTGCTCGGGGCTGAGATGATAGCCGATACATGGAGCTCGCCGGCTGTTGACGCGTGTTGGAATAGTGACCGGACTCGTGAGTACTTTGCTAACTTATTGACGTTCTTACGTACTTTTATAATTTATCTACTGCTTTTTTAGTCGCCGTCTCGTTCCGCGAGCGCACGATCCGGCTTTTGGACACAAAAGTGGAGATTGCCTGCTGGAAGAAACTACGGTAAAAGAAATACGGCACTCTTTTGAGGATCAATTTTAGGTCGAACTGCCGGCGCAAGCTGCAACCCAGCTTCGTCTGTTCCCGGTGTCTTCATTTTCCAGGTCCGTTTAGATTTATCCCTCATTTTCATTTCTTTTCCAGGCCGAGCCCTTCGCCACGAACGATTCGACGTTTGCCGGTGTCTGCTATCTGGTGCCCGACCAAAAAAGAATGATGGATATTTCGTTGTGCCGCTTAGCAATCGGTAACTTTAAATTTTTTTGATTTTGCAACTTTCTTTAGACATGAACTCCAAGTGTTTGATCCTGGCTGCCTGTGCGACGAATGGGCTTCTCGTTTCCTGTGGCGTTGATGGTGGGAATTTTGGATCTTTCGCAATATCAGGGGTGAAGCAAGCTTTTGAAAATCAATCCCATTTTTAATATAAACAAATTAAGCATTTCTCTGCTTTTCCTACCATTCATATGCTCAAAAATATGCCTTTTAATTGAAATCTGTAAAAATATGCAGTCTTCACGACCAAAAATAGCCAATTTTCTCGTTTTTACTTTTAAACTTTTTAAGTAGCTTTTTACAATTATTTTATGGATTTTATTTTATTACCAAATTCAGGCGCGCTTCTCGTTTCTACAAATGGTCGATTGGCTCCCGCCTATGCAATGATGGACTTTACCTTCTCTGCCCAACGGAAGGCGCTACAATTGACGAGGTAGAACATCCTGACATTCTCTATATCGGATTTTAGGTATCGAATTAATCTACCATCCAAAGAGCCTGGAATCGCACCCCCACTCCATGATACTCACGAAACAGCCCAACAGTACAGCTGGCTCGATGTTAACACCATTGAATGCGATCGGGTATGCAATATAACAAAAGCTGGATACCGTTTTTAGGTACCAATGCACCACGGCACGGCTTCGTGCGGTGATCTACGACTGGAGAGCCTGAACGTCGTCGCGACGAGCTACGGCGACGACCCGGTGATGGTGACGGGCGGCCAGGCGGGCCTGCTCTTTATGCTGCCATGTGCGCTATGATTTCCCCCGGACGATGCACTCATTTTAACAAGCTTTAACTTTAATGCTTTATGATTATCACTGTTGTCCAAAGTTATTCCTTTATTCATACCCTGATTGTTGTTCTATTCATCGATATCTCCCCGTTGTTGCTACTTTACTTTAACACAAACGTTATTACTAGTTGATAAATTTTTAAAATATTCCAAAATATTTTTACAGATTTTTAACGTTTTTTTAATGCTCTCCGCTATTTCCAGCCATCTTCATCGATTGCCATAAATTCACCCCCGACCTCGAGCGGGAGCGATCCAAGGAAACATGTGCGGCTCGACGATCGTTTTTGAGGCAGTATGTTTGTGTCTCTGTCCGTCTCTGTATGTCTGTTCCGTGGCTCCAGTTTTGTCCCTCTACGCGACACACACCACAGTGTAAGGGGTGGCTTGAGGAGAGAATAAGGCCGTCAGTTGGCCCTCCCCTCCTAGTCGGTGGGTGGAAAAGCCCGAGGAGGAGGAGCAAGAGGAGCTATATGGCCCGAGGGCATCTCGGTTGATAAGTGGATGGCGGAGGGGGTGGTAGTGGTAGACAGCGAAAAGTACTGGTAACAGGTTGAAAAAGGCGTAAAAAAGAGGCGTTCTAAAGTGACTGGAGGAGTTCTGGGTGTTTTTGAAGATTCTAACGCTGAAAAATTGTAAATGGAAAATTTTAGAAGCTCTAAACGGAGTAAACCTCTAGGTACTGGTAACAGACCGAAAAATATCTAGAAATCAGTAAAGTGACCGGCGACGTTCTTGATGTTTCTAAAGCTACTGAAGCTTGGAGAAGCTGGAAAATTGAAACTTTTAGAACTTCGAAAAATCTGCGGAATTGCGTATGTATCATCAATCTATAAGATCATCGCGTTTTCGACGCCCAACTACATAACGTCCTTTGCGTGTGTTTATCTGGTTAATTTTCCCTTTTTCTTACATAGTGCCAGCGAGTGCGGCGCTTTTATTAGGCCAAAAATTCGGCTCTGTACCGATATAAGGGATTTCTGCCGATATAAGGGATCACCGCCGATATAAGGGATCACTGCCGATATGAGGGATCGGTGCCGATAAAAGGGATCACTGCCGATATAAGGGATCGCTGCCGATAAAAGGGATCACCGCCGATATAAGGGATCGGGAAAAAAACCCGAAAATGGCGGGTACCGATATAAGGGATCACGAAACCGGATTTCGGGCAAAATGCCGATATAAGGGATCAGAAGAAAGATTTTGCGCGATATATTATTACATTGATGTAAAGAGCTATTTATTTAGGTCGATTTCGAAAGAAATTACAGAGAAGTTGATAAAAACTAGGTTTTACGGAAGTATTATTCAATCTTCGGTAGACTAGACCCGACCTAAGCTTAAGCTGATTGGAACGCCGAAGAATTGATGGCAGAGGTCGTACTAAAGCAGATAGAGGTATGGGATCGAAATAGCTGCATCACCGAGTTAGTCCATTGGGTTAAATACCAGTCCAATAAGTCCTGGCAGAGGTTGACGCGGGAGTCGCAGAAAATTAAATAAGGTGGATGAGGGAAAGGGATAGGCGGAGGCACCACGATCACAAACTGGCAAAGGCATCGGATTGAATAATACGTCCGTAAAACATTAGTTTTTATCAACTTCTCTGTAATTTCTTTCGAAATCGACCTAAATAAACAGCTCTTTACATCAATGTAATAATATATCGCGCAAAATCTTTCTTCTGATCCCTTATATCGACATTTTGCCCGAAATCCGGTTTCGTGATCCCTTATATCGGTACCCGCCATTTTCGGGTTTTTTTTCCGATCCCTTATATCGGCGGTGATCCCTTTTATCGGCAGCGATCCCTTATATCGGCCCTGATCCCTTATATCGGCGGTCCGAGGCCCTGATCCCTTATATCGGCGGTGATCCCTTATATCGGCAGAAATCCCTTATATCGGTACAGAGCCAAAAATTCTCTTTAGAGTGGATTAAAAAGTTTTTTTTTACACTGTAAAATTGGTATTTTTAGGCCTCCGATTAATTGCCCACCCCCAATGCCCGAAATGTTTCGAATTTAGCCGAGAAGTGGCTGCCTGGGCTGCCTGTTGCTGTGGCATCTTGTTGATAGTTGAGGGGTGGGGCCTGTGTGCCCTGAGGGCTGAATCATGGCCCCCTCCTCCTCCTTCTCCTGCTGCTCCTCCCCTCCCTTCATTTGCTCGTCCTCCTCCCCCTCTTTGCGGCTGCACCCCCTCTCCGCGACACAAATCCACAGGTACTGTATTCCCGGCCTGTCGCTGTGCCTTTAAAGGATCCCGAGAAAGGCGTTATGATGGATTTTGTTGGCTATTGATTACTAGCAGTTGGCTTGTCCTTTAAACGGACCGGCAAGGCACGAAAATGGCTTTTGGCCATGGATTCTCGTTTTTTTCGCCGTGACTCGTAACGCGTCCGGTCGCCCCTTAATTTTGGAAAGGATTTTCGTCCCTGTACGAGGGGCGGCGCGCGTTGCGTGTCCAGTCAATATAAATTTTTGCCTTTCTGAGCCCTTTAAAAGATAAATAAAAATAGAAAATCCATGGTTTTTAATATTAAACTCCTGTCTTTCAGTTGGCTGTAGATAAATTAATAAAATTTCTGGATTTTGACTTTCAAAAGTATATAACTTTAACTTTTTTATATTTACCTGCTTCTGCTTGGCTCTTTTTACCGCTTAGCGTCTTTTTTATTGAATTTAGCGATAGTTTGAGGCCATAGATGATTAATAGCTTTTCCTCGCTTTGCCTCGCCTCGCGTAGTTTTAGGTCTATTTCTACCTTAAAATCCGCGAAAATTCAAAAAAATTGGCAGTTTTGCTTCGTTTTAGTTAGCTCCAGGCTTGCTAAAACAATTTTACCTATACTTTCTAATGGCTATTTCCCTAGAAAATCATGGTAGATGGCAAAACTATGCCCGGAATTTGATGCCCATACGGCCGCGGCAAAAACGTGATAGCGCGCCCGGGCCTAGCATGACAAAACCCCGTTCCTGCGCTTGCGTTATCGATATTGCACCCTTTTTGGCCGGGGCTGCTCCCCTACTACTGTTAGACATAAAATACGCGTTTACTCCCCAAACTGTACTTCATTTCGGGAATATGGATCGCCAGATACACTGTGAGTTTCCTGACTTTTAGGCGGATTCTAGGGCTTCGAAGCCTGTTTTATATTATTTTAAAGACTTAGAACGAATTCTAGAGTTTAAAAGGTATATTTTTCACTTTAAAAAGTTGGTATAAAATTTAACCGGTGTGTAGCCTGGTTTTAGCGCTTCAGAACGAATTATAGGTTTTAAAACGTATATTTTTAGTTTTCACGCTTCCACGTTCAGTTCGCAGCTTTATGACCTAATTTTTGGAACTTTTACGTTGAATCCTAGGGTTTAAAAACGTAGTTTTTAGCTTAAAACTTTGATGTTGATTCCCTAGATTTATAACCTAATTTTTAGGTTTGTAAAGTTTATAAGCTATTTTAAAATCCGGTCAGTATAGAAAAATAATAAATTTGTTGGATCGTCCTAGATCGTGAAAAACAAAGCTTTTTCAGCAACAATGGACGCCATCAAGAAGAAGATGCAGGCGATGAAGATCGAGAAGGTTTGTTTTAGCGGGTTTTGCGCTTTGTTTGATGGTTTTAAACGTTTTCCTTTTCTAGTCGTTCCCAATTCGTTTTTGTCATTTGGCGAAACTTTTCTGGGGAGCGCCGAGCGCCCGAATGTTGTCGGAGGCCGACTCATTTTTGTTTTTGGATGACAAAACATGGCTGGGGCACCCCGAGACAAACTCTTCGCGCTGGAATTGCGAATTTTTGGACCTGGGAAATGATGGAGAAAGTGTTAGAAAGCAGAAAAAGGGGGCTGATCGATATTTTAATAGGTGTTCACGAGATTTTCACGTTTTCAGCTTTTCTTAATCGAGAATGCCATTTCGTTAAAATCGA